GCGCCTCACGGGAGCCCAGGTACCACCCCAAACAGAGACTCCACAAAGTCCCAGTAACTGGGGCGTCCTAGTGTCCCTACCTCTCTGACTCTGGTCAACAATCACCCAGAGCTCCTGTGTGTGAGGCGTGGCTCGGGGGGGGGGGGGTGCAGGGGTTAGGAGGCAGAACAGGGTAGCAGGATGCCAGGAGTGGGGGGAGGCAGGGGCACAGGGCCCAGGGGTGGTGGAGAGCAGAGAACAGGTATCGGGGGTGCAGGGGCCAGGGCAGGGCAGAGGGGGGCCCAGAGGTAGGAATAGGGGGAACACGGCCCCAGGGTGTGGGGGCAGAGGATGGGGCCAGAAGGCCCAGGGTGGGGGCAAGGCCGGAGGGAGGGGCAAGTGTGACCATGCGGCCCCCCGCCAGGATGTCCCCTGGGGACATCCTCCAGGGTGAGCAAGCCCACTGCGGGGCAGGGCCAGTGAGTGAAGTAGGCTGGGCCTCGGGGCAGCAGGAGGGAGCCCCGAGGGGGAGGTGGCCGTGGAGGCTCCCACAGCGCTCACAGGGTCCTGAGAAGGGGGAACTCATCCCCAGGGTCAGACCTCTGGAGAGGGTCTCCTGTCTGCCAGGCCTAAAGGACCCTCATGCCTGCCTGGGCATCTGTGGCTTGTCCCGGTGTCCATCTGTCTCCTTGCAAGGATGCGGGTCCTCGGTCACAGCCGCCTCGTCCTAACTTGTGACATCTGCAAAGACCCTGTTTCCAAGGCAGGGCACCTTTGTGGGCCCCGCTCAGCCTCTGGGGCGCCTTCTGCCCCTGCTGAGCAGGTGAGAACAGAAGGACCCCGCGCTCGCGCCACCTGTGGGGTGATGGGCCACAGCAAGTGCTCGGCACCGGCAGCAGAGATCCAGGGGGGCCGGCGCAGGGGCGGAGCCGGCGCTCTCAGGGCGGGGGTCCCCATTGGTTCCCCCACCAGAGACACAGGAGTCTGGGGCTGCCCCGGCTCCTGTTTGTCTTTGCCGCTTCCCCGCTGAGGCCTGGGGGCCTGCCTCCTGGCCGCCCCTGGCGCCTCCGTCCACTTCTCGGTGGGCGCCCACCCTGGGCCTTTCGCGGTCCTGGGGTTCCCTGAGGCATGTTAAACCCGTGTCCCCTCATTTTGGAGGGTCCTCTTGTCTGGAGCCCACGCCGCCGCCCCTCCTTGCACCCGGCGCTACAGGCCTGCGCGCCCGTGGTCTCCCGAAGCACTGGGTCTTGGAATCCGCGGGGCGTCACCGAGCCCCAACAGAAACGCGTGGACAGGCAGCTGCGCCCGTGCCGCAGGGGTGCGGGGAGAAGGCACTGGCGCGGGGCCCCACCGGCCCCAGATCACCCGGAGTCCGGGCTGCACACTCGGTTTGGCGACGAAAGGGCCCACTCGCCTCCAGCTCAGTGGCGGCACCAAGGGGGCGGCGGCGGGTGGCCCCGCGCTCTGCCTGCTGCCCCCGAGCCGGCCTCGCGTGTCCTGGGCGCGGCTGGGCGCGGTCGTCCGAGGGCCCATGGGGGTGCCCGCCCAGGCCGGGTTTGCGGGTCTGCCCTCGGCCGCTGCGAATTACTGCAGCTCCGCGTCCGCGCGCACTTCAGCCTTGTTCTTTTTCAAGAAGCAGCGGTGATGAGGATGGCGGCCTTCCCGTTCCCGATGCTGGGAGGAGCCAGCCTTTCGCCTCTGGCCGTGAAGGGGCCCCCGTCAGCGCGCCTCCCGGACCCCGCACGCCGCTGGGGAGTCTGGCCTTCGTGACTGCGCGTCCATAGCCAGGACACATGTGGTGGCCTCTCCGTGCGCCTTTGTTCCCGGGGGCCTGGGACATAATTCTTCCTCCTCTGTGTTTTGGACGCACCCGCGAAGGGCCGGGCTCATTCTTTTCGAAAAGTTGGCAGAATCTGCCCTGGAGCCATCTGGCCCCTGTTTTTCCTATTTTCATTTTTTTCCGTTACTGATTCCATCTCCGTGCCTATTAGGTCTGACCAAATCCTCCGGTCTCCCCGAGTCACCTTTGGTGGCTGATGCTCCCGGGCACCCCCGGGCCTCCTCGTCAGGCCGGCCAGTCTTTAAGGAACCGCTTTGTTTCCTGGACTTGCTTCTGCAATCTGCTGCACCTCTCACCTTTGCTGCTTCCTCTGCCTGCTCACGTCTAACCTGCTCGTCCTGTTTCTGAAGGTGAAGGAGAAGTCTGCATTTGGGGTGCTTTTCCTTTCTGTGGCAGTACCTAGAGCGCCCCCTCCACTCCCCCGCGCCAGGAGCACCAGGCAACCAGAGGAACGGGAGGTGGAGGGCGGGCAATGGGCAGGCCAGACCACACCCAGGCTCACAGGCCCATCTGACAGAGAGATGTGCACAAGGAGCAGCCTCAGGAAGGAGCCCAGGGGCGCTGGGCTGGGGGAGCGAGGGGAGGCGGCGGAGGAAAAGCAGACAACAGCCACCCAGCCGCCTCATTCCCACCGAGAAAATACAAAGTCCAGAAAAGTCCCCCGGAGTGTTGCATCCGCATCTGGCATCTGGCGCTCAGGGCTGCCTGCGGGGCGCGTGGCTCCGCCTTTGACGCCAGGGCCTGCGCTGGGTGCAGTGCCTGATTGGGGTTGGGGGGCGCGGCTAGAAGGCCAGGCCGGCAAAGGGGCTGCAGGAGCAGCAGGCAGCCTAGCTGTGCTGAGGTCCTTCTTGTGCCTCCAGCCTGCTCAGCCTGGCGCCCCAGAGGTGTCTGTGGCGCTTCTCACGGCGCCAGGCCCTCATCTCCTGCAGCCTCACCCGAGGATGGGCTTGGCTGTGGGGGCAGCCCCCCACCCCCTACGGTCCTCTCCCCAACGGGAGTCCCGTGCATGGCCTGGGCAGGGGCCTTGGGGAGCCCTGCTGCCCACTGCCCCTAATGCTGAGCTGGGGCCACTCGCATCCTGGGGACCCTTGACATGCAGGGTGTCCACCGATGGGCAGGAACACAGCGGAACCCTGCTCAGCAATGGAGAAGAGCGAACCTGGGCCGTGTGTGAGGCTGTGGATGGACCCGGGTCCCACGCTGAGCGAAGAAAGCCAGACAGCGAGGGCAGGCCCCGCCGCCTCCCTGACGCGGAATCTGAAAACAAGCAAAACCAAACTAAACTCAGAGCCGGGAGAAAGGCCGCCGGAGGGGAGGGCGTGCGTGGAGATTTCAGACCCTCCATCCAGCCGCAGAGCACGGGACGTGGTGGGAACCCAGCCCTGCAGACCTGAGAGCTGCCAGAAAAAATGCTCGACAGATTCATGGTGACCAAGCGTCACTTCGAGCCTGAAACGAGTGCAGCGCAAGGTGACCACAGCTCCTCGGGGAAAGGCTGGCCGTGGGGCTTCCGCCCCGCGGGCGGCTCCCGGCTCCTGCAGGTCTGGAGCATGGCACTCGGGTTTGCTGAGCTGCTTGGTGTGTGGAGCGCGGCTCGTCACATCGTGGAGGGGGGGGACTGGTGCCTGACTGAGGGTGCAGGGCCCGGCACCCCTGCTGTCCTGGGCCCCAGGGACTCTCTGGAGCTTTAGACGCAAGAATTCCCCACGATCACTCATGCCACATCTCGCTGGTCTGCCACCTTCAGAACAGACCGCCTTGGGTCAAAACAGGGAACACTTTCTGATAAACGCCTTGGCCAACACTGCCCTGTGTGGTCTCCAAGCTGCACCAGGCCGGTCGGCCAGTGGCCTCTGACACCACCGGACGGGGCGAAGGAGGCAGCGTGGCCCCGGGAGGCAGCATCCCAGCTGGGGCTCCAGGACCAGGCTGGGCACCGCAGGGCCCCGGCTCCCATGGTGGCAGCTGAACGCGTTCATGGGCTCCAGGCTTCCGGTCCAGGCGGGTGAGCGCGGGAACCTCTTGCTATGTGAGCCCCGTCACTGGGGTTCAGGCTTGGGGCGGGGAGCCTCACCTCACGACTCCCTGAGGGCCGGTGCTGGAGCCCTCAGGGTCAGGGCGGGGGTGCCCGGGCTGGGCTGGGCTCTGCCAGGCATCCCAACCGCATGCCTCTGCCTCCAGAGCTGGGTGCCTGGTGCCCCGTCTGTCTGTGGCAAGAGAAACCCCCGAGCAGCAGCTCCCAGGGTGAAAGGGCTGCCCCAAACCTCGTAGCCCCTGGGGCTATGGCGGCCCCGCTGGGTGACCCCCAAAACACCCTCCTACAGTCGCGCATGCTGACATCAGAGCGTCTGCGGCTGCCCCCAGCCCTGACCGCCCCTTCGCAGCCCTGACCACCCCTCGGCCCCCTGAGCAGGCCGCAAGGTCGGGGCCACCGATCCCTTCAAAACCCGAGGACCCTCGTTTAGGAGAACGCGCAGACACGTAAGTTTGTTGTCCTTTTAAGAGGCTCATGGACTCTGGAGAATGTCCATGGACAGCAAATGACCCATGATTCAGAGAAGTCAACGCAAACCGCAGAGGCTGCCGGTCCAGCGCGTTTGGCCACTGGCTGCGGCACACTTGTCCGGATGCTTTTAAAGGAGCGAAACAAAATCTTTTTGTTAGAGGAAAGTTTAAACGCGCAGACAGCAGCAAGCTGTCGCGCCAGCTGAGCACAGGGGTGGCTGGGGTGCCCCACCCACGCGCGCAGCGAGGGCGCGCGGGCCGCCACGGGCCCCACCCCGACCGGGGCGCCGGCGCTCAACCCCCTTCCCGCCTTGCAGACCCCGCCGTGCGCGGCCGGCTCCTCCTGGGCTCTCGGCGCCCCCGCGCCCCCCCCGCGCCCCCGCTGCTGGGCCTCCACCGCACAGGCCCCGTCCCCCGGCGCTCCGGAGAGGCGGCTGCTCGGACAAGGCCCCCCCTGCGCCCGCACCTTTGTCTCCAGGTGAGGAATGACGGCGCGGGCGCCACTTGCAGGCCGACGGGCACTTTGGGCCCCGGGCGCAGGCCTGGACGAGGGAAGCCCCGGCGGGCGGGAGCGCAGAGGGGCCCCGGCAGGCGGGGGCCGGGGGCGGGGGCCGGGGGGGGGACCTCCCGGCCTCACGGGGCTCCTTGCTTCGCAGGCCCGGCTGGCGGCGCGCCCATGGCCCTGCGCCCCGGGCCCGCGGGGCCCCCGCGCCGCGCCCGGCGCGTCATCATCAACGTGGGCGGCTGCCGCGTGCGCCTGGCCTGGGCTGCCCTGGCGCGCTGTCCCCTGGCGCGCCTCGAGCGCCTGCGCGCCTGCCGCGGCCCCGACGAGCTGCTGCGCGTGTGCGACGACTACGACGCGGGCCGCGACGAGTTCTTCTTCGACCGCAGCCCGTGCGCCTTCCGCGCCATCGTGGCGCTGCTGCGCGCCGGGAAGCTGCGGCTGCTGCGCGGGCCCTGCGCGCTGGCCTTCCGCGACGAGCTGGCCTACTGGGGCATCGACGAGGCGCGCCTGGAGCGCTGCTGCCTGCGCCGCCTGCGCCGCCGCGAGGAGGAGGCGGCCGAGGCGCGCGCGGGGCCGGCGGGGAGCCCGGGGCGCGCGCTGGGGCCGGCGCGCGGCCCCCCGCGCCTGCTCGACGGCGGGGACAGCCCGCTCTCGGGGCCGGCCGGCAAGCTCTTCGCCTGCATATCCGTCGCCTTCGTGGCCGTCACGGCCGTCGGCCTCTGCCTGAGCACCATGCCGGACATCCGTGCCGAGGAGGAGCGGGTGAGCCGGGCGCGGGGCCGGGCGGGCCTGGGGCGGGCGCGGGAGAGGAGTGGGGCGCGGCGAGGGGGTCGGGGCGGGCACCGGATGGGGTGCGCGAGGTCTCTGCGCAGCCGACCAGGGCCCGAGCCCCAGCCGAGAGGGGTCTCCGTGGCAGATGCCCCACCCCGGGCGGCTGAGAGCGCGGGCGCCGGCCTCCTCCTGCTCTGCGCACGCGGCGCGCGTCCCATCGGGGCCGCGGCCGGGAGGCCAGGGCCAGTGGTCTGGAGCGCAGGCGCTTTCGCCCCCAGGCCGAGTCCACCCGGCCGCGGAGACCACGCGCCCGGTGCTGCTGCGCTGCTCCCTCCGCCCGCCGGGGCCTGGGGGGGCGGGGCGCCCAGCCGGGAGGATGGGGCGCTCCAGGACGTCGGAGTCCCAGCGGCTGGGGCTTGGCCCCCGGGGAGCAGGGGTGGGTGCTGGTTGCGCCTCTCCAGCAGCACCCGCTGTCCCCCGGGGGTTCTCCCAAGGAGGGCAGTGGGAGTCGGGCTGGAGGCGCAGGCCCTTCCGAACGCTGTTTGTCGGGGCTTCCTGCAGAACCCCGACCTGAAGCCCCAGCCCCGCGCCCGTCCTCCGGCCCGCGCTCGAGCCGGTGCCTGGTCACCGCCGTGTCCTCCGGAAGTGGGGGGCTGCACCCCGCTGTCCCTCTGCGGCAGCCCGCAGAGCCCGGCCCGGGGCGCGCGCGACCTCGGCGGGTGGGAGGGATGAGCCCTTGAGGCCCGAAGGCCGTGCCGCGCCCGCCGCCGCCCTGGCCGGAGGGGCGCCGGGATGGGCCAGCGCTCTGCCCCTCGCTGCCCGCGGCTGTGGCCTGGGCCTGCGGGCTGCGCCCACGCAGACCCGCCGCCTGTTCCTGCGCCCCGCGGGCGGCGCCGGGCAGCTGCGCGGGAGGAGCTCGCCGCCCAGGGCATCCCTTCCCTCTGCTCACTGCACCAACCTGGCAGGAAAAACCGGGCTTTGTGTTTGCAATTTGTGCAAAACAAACATTTTCTGCTCAAATGCCCAGAATAGAAGTTGCCAGATTATATATTTTCAAATTGGGACTATTTTTTAGAGCAGTTTTAGTTCAAAGCAATATTGAGGGGGGAGTGCAAAGATTTCCCTTCTACCCCGCGGCCCCCCATGTGCACTGCCCCCCACGTTCACAGCCCCTCAGATGTCCCACCGCGCCCGCCGGTGCCTTCCCCCCGGATGTCCCTCTGCTGCGGCCTGCAGGCCGCCCGCCACCCGCCGGGCTGCGCGTCACGCCGGGCCGGACAAAGGCATAGCCGTGCGCCCCCAGAGACCCTCGCTGCTGGAGCCCCACGAACTGCCAGCCGTCACCCCTTGCAAATGTCCCGGGGCTGGAGCGGAAGGGGTGTCCTGCAGGCAGGGTGACACCCCCACAGCGAGCTGAGGTCCCGGCTCTGAAGCGGGTTCTCCTCCGCGCCCACCGCGCCTGGTCCTCTGCTCTGCGGCTGGTGCCTGCGTGAGACTGGCCGTCTGGACGCTGGGCGCAGGGGGGCTGCAGCCACCGTGCCCCGCTCCGGCCGCCCTGGGCACCCCCAGCGCAGCTGCCCAGGCACCCTCCCCGGGGGCGGGCGTGTCTGTCTCCCCGTCACCTGTGCGCTGTGTCTTCGCGCGGCCAGCTGCCCGCAGACTCGCGGGCCGGGCGGCTGTTGCCACCCCACGGCCCGGGCCAGCTCTGACGCAGGAGGTGGCCTTCGGGCCTGCCGTCCATCGCCGCCCCCTGGCGCCGCCCCGCCCCGCTCCCGGCTCGGCCGCCCCCTGCGCCCGGCCTTGCGGTTTAGTTGAGCAGCTGACGTGACGCCGTTTTCTCTCCTGCCTTCGCACGTCAGCTGTGCTGCTTTAAACCTCAGCAGCTGCGGAAGGCTTGCAGGACACACTCGCGGCCGGAGCACCTCCGCGTCCAGGGACGAGCCGCCTCTTTCTGAGCGCGCCGACGGTCGTCCGCCCCGGACTCGCCTCCCGTCCCCGCGGCTCCGCTGCCCCTCACCGCCTGCAGCGGCTCCGACGCGCGCCCGCGGCCTCGCCCGCAAAGCAGACGCGCCAAGGCGGCCGCGGTGGGGCGGGGGCTCCACGCAGACCGTTTGGGGGTCGATGCTCCCCCTCGGAGCAGACGCTGCTCGCGGCATCTTGCACAGACGCGGGGGCAGGGCTGCCGGCGCGCCCCGAGCACCCGGCACCGCAGCTTTGCTGGCCGACCTCACTCTGAGTCGCCGTGTCTCAGGGGGGCGGGTGCCCGGGGCAAGGGAAGGCAGCGCAGCTGGCAGTGAAGCCGGGAAGCTGCTCGTTCGGTTCTGCGCGGCTCTTGCGCACAAAATGATTACGGGGCGCCGTCAGGGGCCACTCGCTGTCCCGTCAGCATAACAGACCCATCTCAGTGGAGCACGAAGCCCTGGTTTACCCGCAGGTCAAGGCACTGCCCCCCGGGCCTCCTAGGCCTCCGGAGGACATCCCAGGCTCCATCTTACTTGAAGAGCCACAGGCAAGGCAGGACAGAGGCGGAACCGGTCATCAAGGGCTGGGCCTTCCCAGGCTGCCAGCCATGGCCGTGTGCCATTGCCTGGTGACTGTCCTGACGCCAAGGCGTGAGGAGGCCTAGTGGGAAGACCCCGCTGTCCAGAAAACCACCCCAGCCCAGGGCCGCGGGCACGTGAGAACCAGGCAAGGGCCTGCCAGCTGCCCTCGTGGCCCTGGGGAAGCATTAGATGGCGCTAGCGCCCCCCTCCCGGCTCACATCCGGTCCAGCGCCAGGAAAGGTGCAGCTGGACAGGAGCCGCTTCCCTCCGCCAGGGGCCCTGCCAGCCACCAGCTGCCAGGCCCCGCAGCACCCACCACCCACGGGCTCGGCTCCAGGGCGGGAGCTAGTGACACTGCCCTGCTCATCTCTGGGAACCCACAGACCTGCTTCCCGTGCCAGCTGCATGTGGGGGCACGGGGTCTCCTGGCTCCCAGCCAGCCCCTACTCCACCTGCAGCCTGGGTCCCGCCGGCGGCCCGGAGCTGAGGAGAGACCAGGACTGAGGACCGGGAGGACCAGGCCACGGTGAGCCCTCGGGTGACCGAGGCTGAGCCGCCCCCGGGCCCATCCCCGTTGGTGGCTCTTGAGCCACAGACACTGGAGGACGCCCCATCCCTGTTTGAGAGAGAAACCAATGAAAGATGGAGCCCGGCCCCCGGCCAAGCCTGTGCCACGGCCCCGGAAGGCAGGTCTGGGCCGGGCACTCGGGGGCACACAGCGTCCCTCAGCCTTTCCCAAGAAGGGACTTTTGCCTAGGAGACCAGGCCTTCGACAGCCTTGGAAGCCCCAGGCCTGGCCCCAGGAGGGCAGCAAGGCGGGGAGCTGCCGTCAGCTGCAGCGAGTGTACCGGGCTGGGCTGGGCGAAGGGGTGTCCTCGCCCGTCCTCCCCATGGTTCCTGCAGGCAGCTCCGCTGCCCCCTCCCGGCCACCCCACGTGACCCCTCCCTGCTCCCCTAAACGTGCCACATGCAGGAGGCAACCACAGGCAACCGGCTAAGTGGGCAGGAAGACTTCTCTTGAGGGAGACGCCCCTGGGGAGGACTCCGGGCCCCCCTAGGCCCCCAGGAGGAAGCGCCCCCAAGGGCGTGCGGCTGTGTGGGGCTCCTGTGGGCCCTTACACGGGTGCTGGGGGAGGCGGGCGCCCCCACAGTGCCCTCACTTTCGGAGGCTAAGGGCCAGCACCACCTGCTCCCGCTGGCCCCAACTCTTCACCGGTGACGGGCTGGGGAGCCAGATGGGCCTGAGGGGCTGTCCTCGGGGCTCAGAAGGACATGAGCCGGGCGGGGACATGAGTGGGGCCTGCTGGGTCTCCCGCCCAGTGCGAGCAGAGGCGTCCCTGGGGCTGGCGTGGTCTCCCCTCTGGTGCTACTGACGCCCTTTGTTCCTGCTCCCCACGACTGTGGAGGCTCCTGAGGGGACTGAGGCTGACTCATGGTTCAGGGTCAGAGGTGAGCTGGGTCAGACCAGGGCCAGTCTGGACACTAGGAGAGGTTGGACATGGTCTGCTTCCTGCTCTGTCAACAGGCCCCTGTGGCCCTGGAGCCCAGCCGGGACCCCCACCAGGGCTGGCATTCTCCCACCAGCCTCGCACCAGTCATCTGCCCAGAGATGTCTCTCAAAGGGCCCCTGATAGGGTCCCAGCCCGCTCGGGTCTAGAGGGACCACCCAGGGACCGCAGCACGTCCACCTGCAGCACCACCCTGTGCCCGCAGCACCCGCCTGGCTGGCCCCAGCGCTCTGCCTGTCAATGCTGCTCGGCCTCGCTGGGGACAACCGGGGCACATGCGTGTCTGTGGCGACTGAGGCGTCTCATGTATCCACCACCGTCCCGTGTCCTGACACTGTCCACTGGCCCCGGAGAACTTGCCCTGCTGCACCCGTGGTCTACGCGCCATGGCCAGCCCTGCGCCCAGACTCCTGGTGACCATGTGCCCAGCTCGGAGCTGCTGGCCCTTTGCAGCAGCCACCCTGCATCCCACACCCTGACCCATCCCTGCTGCCCGGGTTGTAGGGCCCTGACCCGCGTTTCTGGGTGATAAGTCCCCATGCGCCCCTGTTTCCTTGAGGGGCGTGTCTGCAGCCCCAGGCACCGGGCTGTCTCTGCTGTTGACCTGCAGGGTGGTTCCTGTGTCTGAGGCTCAGGCCTCCAGTTGGACAGAAGCCTGGAAGCACACCCCCCAAGCTGCCGCCCGTCCTCTCAGTGCGTCCACAGTGCTTTCGGGCGCAGGGTTGAGGGCCATGGCTGCAGCTTTGACAGCGGAGCTGTAGTGTCTCCCTGGCGGAGCTGGGTCCCCTGGCAGCTGGCGGGCAGGTCCTGGCCTGCTCTCCTGGGAAGGACGGCCCGGTGGGTGCTGCCACTTTGCCAGGTGGGGTTGTCCATCCCTGCGGGGGCTAAGCCACCCCCACCTGAGCGCGTGCAGACCTGAGCAGGCCAGGAGGGCGCGCGGCGGGTGCCCGAGGCGGGAGCTTCGGGTTTTTATTAAGCTTGACCTGCTTTTCTGGATGGGTCACATCCAATAATCCACGGTCATGAAGATCTATCCCAAGGTGGGTTTCTGCTAAGAATTTTGCTTTTCTCTTCCATTCAGGTCTCTGACCCATTCTCAGCTAACCTTTGCATCTGGTGCCAAGAAGGCACACTGGGGCCTCAGCCCCTCAGGGAAAGCGGGGCCAAGTCCTGCTCCTCCTGGAAGGCCCAGAGGGGGGCTGGGCCAGGAGCCCCTGGAGGGAGCCGGCCACCCCCACTGGAGGGGGCACCAAGGCTGCCCCTTCTTAATGAACTTTCACGGTGGGTGTTTCCTCCTTTGGCGCACATCTGTCCACGGGGCCAGTCCGAGGGCCGCCAAGTGGTTGATGTTTAACGTCTTCACCCACTTTCCCTGGGGAGCAGGTCAGCTGAGCTGCTTCTGTCTGCAAGCCCCATTGGGCGAAGCCCTTTTTTGCAGGAGCTGAGCTTTCTGGGGCTGCGCTCCCTTTGGGGTGAGTTGGGAAGGGAGGGTGGCCGGGCTCTCCGGCCCCTGACGCCTGCCCTTCGCTCCCCAGGGCGAGTGCTCCCGCAAGTGCCGCAACCTCTTCGTGCTGGAGACCGTGTGCGTGGGCTGGTTCTCGCTGGAGTTCCTGCTGCGCTCGCTGCAGGCCGAGAGCAAGTGCGCCTTCCTGCGGGCGCCGCTCAACATCATCGACGTGCTGGCCATCCTGCCCTTCTACGTGTCGCTGCTCGTGGGGCTGGCGGCGGGCGGCGGGGCGGGCGCGGGCCCGGGGGGCAACAAGCTGCTGGAGCGCGCGGGGCTGGTGCTGCGGCTGCTGCGCGCGCTGCGCGTGCTCTACGTGATGCGCCTGGCGCGCCACTCGCTGGGGCTGCGCTCGCTGGGGCTGACCGTGCGCCGCTGCGCGCGCGAGTTCGGGCTGCTGCTGCTCTTCCTGTGCGTGGCCATGGCGCTCTTCGCGCCGCTCGTGCACCTGGCCGAGCGCGAGCTGGGCGCGCGCCGCGACTTCTCCAGCGTGCCGGCCAGCTACTGGTGGGCCGTCATCTCCATGACCACCGTGGGCTACGGCGACATGGTGCCGCGCAGCCTGCCCGGGCAGGTGGTGGCGCTCAGCAGCATCCTCAGCGGCATCCTCCTCATGGCCTTCCCGGTCACCTCCATCTTCCACACCTTCTCGCGCTCCTACTCGGAGCTCAGGGAGCAGCAGCGCGCCGCCGGCCCCGAGCCGGCCCCGCGCGAGGACAGCACGCGCTCCACCACCGCCACGGCCGCCGAGGACAGCTCGCAGGCGCCCGACGGCGGCGGCCCGGCCGGGGACTCCGCGGAGACGCCGCGCGCGCGCGCGGGGCCGGCCTGAGCGGGGCGGCGGGCGAGGACCCTGCGCCCGGGGGCGGCCCCGCACGACCTTGGAAAGGGAACCGGCCTGGGGGGACGGGCCGCCCAGCCGGCCCCCGCATGTGGCCCCCACCGCCCCGAACTGGCCCGGCGGCCCCAGCCTGCCGGCCCCGCCCGCCGCCCCCCACTCCCGGGCGCGGTGCCCTGCCCGCCTCCCTGGCCCAAGCGCTTGCGGGGCCACACCCTGCGCCTTCCCTGCTGAGAGACAGGGCGGCCCCGCTGTCCCCCAGGACCGCAGTGCCTGGCAGTCCCCGAAGGGGAGCCGTGCGGAGGTGGGGCGGGTCCCCCCCCAGCGACCGGATGCCCGCGAGGAGCGACGGGGGCCCTGGGGGAGCAGCGTGGGGCGCAGCGGGCCGACACCCACAGCCGCAGCGCCCCTGGAGGAGGCCCCGCGCTCCGCGCCGGCCCGCGGCCGTCCCTACCCCCCCCCCATGCCCGCCCTCCGCGCGCCTCGCGGCGCCGGCTCCGCGCCCTCCGGACGCCCCGCGGGGCAGCGGGTGGGGTCGCCGGGCCAGCCGCCCCGTCCGGGTCTGGGGCGCGGAGGGAGGGAGCTTTCCAAGCCCTGCCGCTCCCGCCTTTTAGTTTTAACGAGCAGAGCCGGGCCGGGCGAGGTCCCGCCCGCGCCGCGGGGAGCCCGGGAGGGCGGGCTGGGGGGCCGGGCCGCCGCCGAGGCCCCCCCCGCAGCGCCGGCCTTCGGGGCTCCCTCGCTGGCAGGGGCGGCAGCGCGGGGACCCGGCCGGGGCTTGGCCTCTGCGGAGCCGCCCCCGCAGCAGCTCCGCAAGGCTCGGCTCTCACCTTCCCCCTCCTCGGCCCGCGCGCGATCCGCGCCCCCCGCCCCCCGCGGCGGCAGCGCGCCTGGAGCAGAGGACCGAGAGGAAGGCCTCGCCGGCGGCCAAGAAACGCGCGGGCTGCATTAAGTGGAGGCACCCAGGGCCGCCTCGCGCGCATCGGCCCCGCCCGGCTCCGCGCTGTCTGTCGGGGTGGCGCGCCCGGCACCCCCACGACCCGCAGCCTCTCGCCAGCCCCTCTCCCGGCCAGAGCCCCCCTTCCTTGGCGCACACCCAGGTCCAGCAGGCCCCTGCGCACCCGTCAGCTGGCCCCGTCTGGTCCTCGGCAGAGGGCAGAGTGTTGGCACCTGAAGGGGTGAGCGCGAGCTGGGTACCTGCTAGTCTTCCGGGGCCCCCTGCACCCCACTCTTCACCCCGTGCTGAGAAGTGTGGGGCAGACTGCCGCCTCCTGTACAGGGGGACACACAGCCCATCGCCATGAACCAACCAACCAAGTTGGCTCTTCAAGGGCCAGGTCAGGCGTGGGGATGAGCCCAGGGCCCGTCCAGTCCTCCCCCACCCGGCTGCAGGTGTCCAGCTGTAACGGGGGTGCCCAGGAAAGGGGGAGGTTCCAGGTTCCCTGCCTCACCCAAGGAGGGTGGAGCTGAGCAGGGAGAGGAGACGCTGCAGAGGAGACTGCGGAAGGAAGGAGCAGGATGGAGCCAGAAGGAGCCCTGGGGGAGGCGCGTGGAGCCGAGACACACGTGGAGAAACCGCGCCGGCCTTTTGGTCGTGGACGGGGGGACACAGATGCGGGCGAGAGACCCGTGGGGAGGGGACAGTGGCAGCTTGTATCTTGATGTTGATGTTGCTCTTTTCCTTCCGGGCTTGTCTGGTTGTTTCTGACCCTTTTCTGTGGGTCCCACTGGAAGATGCTTTAGACTTGGGGCAGGCTCTGGGGCCCTGCTCTGGGCCAATCCCATTTGGATGGAGTTTTACCCACGAGGGGACGGGTCACGTTGGGTGCTTCATTTAGAAACTAGACTCTTTGCCTTTCCCGTATTGTTTCCAAATTGTATTAAAGTTCCTTCCCATTAAAGTCTCATGTTTTGTGGCGGATGGCAGAACCGATTTAGAATAGGCAGGTTTGTGGGGTTTGGGCTGCCCCTCTCCCTGCCCTGGAACACAACCGGGAGAGGCCACCTCCCCACCTCCTTACCCCTCACCCTTCCCTGCACTGGCGCACTGGGCTTCTGGGGCTCCTCAGGACAGGTCAGCACAGGAGTGAGCATGCTGTCAGCGTCAGCCACCTGATGCCCCCATTACCTGCCCATGAGGCCCCATTACATACGCCCTATCTTAGGGAAAGGCACCCCGCCCTTACCCACACACAGATGGGTGCATCAGGCATTGTGGGGAGGGCGCACCTGCCAGCCCTCCACCGCGCACACAATCTCTCCACTGTGCACCCAAGCCCCACCGCGCACACAAGCTCTCCACCGTGTACACAAGCTCCACCGGGCAGAGCACACAGTTCTTCACCTGCTCAAAACCCTTAGAGGCTCAAATGAGGTGGCCCCAGTCATTCAGGGGCCCAAGCAGAGTCACCTTTGTTCCCACATCCAAATGCTGGCCGGGAAGAGCCATCCAATAAATCAGACATTTAGGGTTTGAGGAAAAGTGCACTTGTGTATTTTCTGTGAGTTTATCTTGCCCACACGCGCTCTTTGTGAAGTAAGGAAGCTCGCCTAGCACAGAGGGCCCCTGCTTCACACAAAACTGTCCGGTGCACAGCCAGGGGGGCCTGCATCCTTGGAAGTATCCAGTGGTGGGAGGGAGGCCCCTCAAGATGTGAGCCAGCAGAGACCAAGGTGTGTGTGGGGGGAGGCACAGACCCCGGTCGCTGACCTCAGGCTGGTCTGCTTAGGGACACCAGGCCAGGGCCCGGGCAGCCCTTCCCTGGGGACCCACAGGGGAGGCAGCCCTGGCTGTGTCCCACCCACTCTGACCCCACCGGCCGGCTCAATGACTGACAGCTGCTGCAGCCCGCGGGCAGTGGTTGCCACGGAGACCTTTAATTCCCAGGCGGTGCTGCTCAGGCCTCTCCCTCTGTTTCTAAAAATAAACATTCCCAAAGCATCTTAGAGGTCAAAGAACTGACAGACTCCTCACTCACATATTCATTTTTTTGAGGAAAACCCAGGAGGAGGAATAGCTCGAAGCCCTGCACGGCAGAACCCCAGGCTGGCACAGCCGGGCCGGCGCCGCTGCCCGCGGAGGGAAACCCTGAAGCTGTCAGGGGACAGCGCGCCCAGCGGCAGCGGCGCGGGCTGCGGGGCACAGCCGGGCACAGGAGGGCGCAGCAGGGCACAGCCCGGCACAGCCGCAACGCTGGTGCAAAGCCGGGAGGGCACCGCGGCGGCCAGTGTGGTCAGGCTGCCTCCCGGGCTAGACGCAGGCGCTGCGGGGGCCACCCCAGAGCCCGCACCCTCAAGGTCACGCCAGGCCACAGGTCAGGGCAGTAGCAGCTACCGGGGCTCCCCGCAGGGCCCTGGCATCCCCTGTCCTGGCCACGGGCCCCCTCCCCCATTGGGTGGTGCCAGCGCAGCAGCTGCGATCTGTGCCAGGGCCGGGCCCCACCTGCGGCTGAGGTGAGCCCAGCCCTGGCCGTGGGGCGCCAGCACCCGCAGATCCAGCAGGAGGTGGGGGTGGGAGTCTCGCTCCGCACCCCCAGCAGGGATGGGCGGGTCGATCTCCCTGAGGAGGCTGCGCAGGAGGGTGGCCCCCCCCTCCGAAAGGAGCGCGGAGGCCCCGAAAGGCTGACTCCAGCCAGACAACTGCGGTGCCTGCAGCTTCCCCTCTGGGAGGCCCGGCCAGCCCCACTCCTGTCCTCGGCCACTGCCACCCGCTGCACCCACAAGTCTCCGCTGGCCCCTCTGCAGCTGCCTGACCGCCTCCTGGGACGCAGGCTCCAGGTTCCCGCTGGTGTTTTGGGAGAATGTGGAAGAGAGGCCCCAGGGAAAGCAGGCACAAGCACCCGCCCTGGCCGCCCAAGAGCCCACAGAGGCCCGTGGAGACCTAATAGCCTGGTGGCCACCCGCCCCGCAGCAGCGCAGAGCCAGGCCAGGCCTGCGGGCAGCGGTCATGAGTCCTCACCCTCACCAGCGGCGTCAGAGGGCCTTGGCACTGGTGGGGTGTGCCACGTGGGGAGCAGGTTTCGGGGGGTGGCGGGCGAAGGCGTAGGCCTGCCCCAGGATGGCCAGGTCCACGAGCACCTGCAGCAAGCCGCACACGCAGAACTGCAGCGGCGCGCCGTTCAGCAGGAAGTAGGCTGTCTTGAAGGTGTCGCCACTCGTCCACATGGCCACCATCTTGATGCTGTGGACACATGGCAGGGGATGAGCCGGGCAGGGCAGGCGCCCCAGGGGGCAGGGGCCGGGCCAGGTCTGTCCTTCCAGCCCTTGTGTGACGGGGACAGGAGGCCGTGCGGCATAGGGGTGGCGCGAGTGCCCGCCGGCCTCATGCACTTTCTGGGTGGCTGGTGGTCCGGGAAGGGCAGGGCCGGCCACCGCCTGCACACTCACACATGCCCACCACACATGCACACGGGCATGCGTACACCTTTTCTGTCTTGAAGCAACTGTCAGAGAGATTTCTTAAGGATTTCCCCTTAAAAAAATACCTAGTTGTTATGCGCTGAGACATGGAGCAGCCCCAGTGCCCGGAGCAGACGAGTGGCCGGCACCGTGGCCAATGGACACGAGGGTGCTGCCCACCCAGAATGTGCTGTTTGTGGCCACGCGGGTGGCACGGAGGAAAGATAAACATGGGGGTCTCTCGGGGGTGTGGACTATGGAGACACCCAACAAAGGTCAGGGAGACAAGGGGCGCCAGCTGGGGCGGCGGGGCACCCCGGGTGACGGGAGAACCTCGAGGCTACCCCTGAGAAGTCAAACGCTGCCCACAATGAACAGCACTGGAAGAAAATAAATAAATATAATGAAACATTCAAAAGGAAGCTGCCGTTGCTTCCAAGGCAGCGAAAAAAAACATGAAGCTTTTGGAACGACCCTTACTAGCTAGCGCTGCAAGAGCCAAAAGTCGCATCCCGCGGGGCGCTCGCCTGCCCCCCACTCCCACCTGCACTGGACCCGCAGACTGTTCCCTGAGCAATCGCCGCAGGCAGGGGGCGCGGGCGGCTGCGCCCCTCCCTCATCGCAAGCTCAGGGCCTGCCCAGGCTGGCGCCGCGCCTACCTCATGCCCTCCGTGGAGCGGTGGCGGTGGTTGCGGTACAGCTGCGGCAGGCCCAGCATGGCCTCGGTCAGCACGGCCAGGAAGCCCAGCGTCTCCACGAACACGACTGAGTCAATGGACAGGTAGGTGATGTAGCCGGCCACGCCGGTGAAGGCCAGCACGCACTGCACGTAGTCGCTGAAGCTGCTCCAGCGCCAGAAGTGCTGCGGGTCGAAGTCTGGGCGGGAGAGACATAGGGTGTGCGTCAGCGAGGGCTGGGTGGGGCCGGGGGCAGGGCCGGCATGGGGGGGCAAGGTGCGGGGCCTGCAGGATGGGGCGGGCATCCGGAAGAGGCTGCGGGGATGGGGCAGGGGCTGCGGCGGGCCTGGGGCCAGGGGCAGGGGCGGTGGTGGGCAAGACGCAGGGCCTGCCACCCTCCGCCCCAGACCACTGCACTTTCAAGGGGCATAGACCACACCTCGGCAGGAAGACGCGGATCCCCTAGCATGTGCGGAGAAGAGCCGAGGGCGTCGGAGCCCCTGGAATCTCTTCTCGGCTCAGAACTCGCACCCTTCCCCGTGTGAACTATTCACCCACATGTCTCCACCTTCACACGGAAAAGCGCAGCGCCGGGCCATACCAGGCCTCCGGGACCCACGTAATGGCTGAACGCGCTAAGAAGAACCTGGATCCTTGTCCAGTGCGCAGCCCTCGGAGGGCTGGACAAGAGAAGGTTCTCAGCACGAGGCGCAGGAGGGTGTCACGGGTGTGTCCCGAGACCCCAGTCTGCAGTGGGGCTCTGCCGCCGGCACACAAAGGGGATGCTCAGCACAAGCTCTGCAGTGCCGGGGAGGGCGAGCACCAGGTCCCACTCAGTCCTGGCGGAGTCTGGGGAGGCCCCCACTGAAAAGAAGCCCCAGGAAGGGCTGCAGGCCAGTTGGGGCGCTGCAGGGGCTGGACATGGGTGGAGTCCAAGCCCTCCTAGCCCCCAAGCCTGGCAGTGCGTCCTGCCCCAAGTGAGAACACCCGGGCACCCAGCGTAGGTGGGGTCGGGCAGGACGTGTGCCTGAAAGCCTGAGGTCGCCAGGAGGGCACGAGCCTCCATGCAGGCTGATGCTGGGTGCCCAGGGCCAGCGGGGAGCGGTCTCCTGTGCCAGGCCAGGGGGACTGCCGGACACACGCACACGGGCGTCCAGACAGCGGTGACAGCGTGTGCCTTGGCGTCTCCGAACAGCAAGGTCCCTGCCCGAGCTAGGGGTGGGGAGACACCGCGAGGTCACCTGGGTGTGCTGGGAGACCAGCGCGCTGAGCGGCCGAGGAGGCAGGGTCGGGGCGCCTGCCAGAGCCTTCCTGGGCCGGGTCCTTGGAGCGCCGCTGGCGCACGGGTGACAGAAAGCCCCAAAGCGACCAAGGCCGCCCAAGGCGCGTCCGCAGCAGGTGGCGACGGCGGGGCGCGCTCCCGACACATGCGCGCCCGACACCCGCGACAGCGCCCCGCGTCCCAGCGCCTGCCGCCGGGGCTCCAACTGCCTCGGGATCGGGGCCTGACAGGCCGGCCTGGGCGCAGGCAGCGGCGGTCATCCCAGCCCGCGCCCCCGCCCGCCCCGAGCCCCTGCGCCCCTGCGCCCCGCGGCACGACGCGCCTGGGCACGCGGGGCCGCTCCTCCCCAGCTGGCGGGCGGCGGGCGGAGAAGCTCCGGAGGAGAAGCCCCCGCTGGGGGCGGCGGGAAGGGGCCTCGCGGCCCACGCGCCCACTGCCCCGCGCCCCGCGCAGCCGACGCCCTCGCGGTCGGCCACGCGCCCGGTGCCCGGGCAGGCGCCACGAGCCCGGCCGGCAAAGGAGGCGCGGACGGTTCCGGGCGCGGTCGCGGCCGGGGCGGTGCCAGCGGCCGAGCCGCGCGGAGGCTTCCACAGGCCGGACGGACGGCCGCAGCGCCCCCCCCAGCGCCCCCGGCCGGGCCGCCGCCATGGCCCCCTCCCGCAAGCCGAGGCGGAGGCAGAACTGCGCACCGCCAGGCGGGCCGGCCTCGGGCAGCCGCGAGACCCCCGGGCGGGGCGGCGGGAGGACGGGGAGCGGCCAGGAGGCCTGCGCGCCGCAGAGGACCCCTGGGCGGGAGCTGCAGGCGCCTGACCCCACCCTGAGCAGCACCTCCGTTTGTGAAATTTCCGTGAAAGGGTGGCGCTCGCGTCCTGCTCCCAACACAGCAACGTTTCACGAAGGGATGCCCCCCACGGCCCGGACGGCGCCGGCAGCGCAGGCCAGAGAGGACACCAAGAAAAGGAGAGAACCACGGGCGAGACACTCCTCATGAAACACCCAGGGCCCCTGCCGCCTGCCGGTGAGCTCCGCAAGGTCACAGGCTCTAAGGTCCACACAGGAGAACAAGCCACAGTTCTCTATCACAGCGGCGGACGGTCCCGGCGACACCGGAAAAGCAGGGCCATGTGCGACACTTTTTTTTTTTAAAGATTTGTTTATTTATTTATACGAGCACTGGGCACAGTCAGAAGCGCGGGAGGGTGAGAGAATTCACCAGAGCCAGAGCGGGGAGCAGAGCAGGCAGAAGGACCGAAGGACACTGCTGAGGGGAGCAGCGGGCGGCAGGAGAGGTCTGCGCGCCATGGGGGACCCTCCTCCGGTGGCCGGGGATAGAACCGGCGCTGCAGAGGCTGCGGGCAGCTTCACAGGCCAGCGCTCAACTGCTGCGCCACCGGGGAGGCCCCCATGTGCGACACTTTCCAAGAACACGAGACCATTGGGGACAAGCTGCCCACGCATGAGACCAGGGTGTTGGCCACAGCCACTGCCTGAGGAAGCCCTGAGGCTGGGCCACCCCAGCCCCTCACCCAAGGCACAGCTGTGGCCAAGCCAAAGCCATGGGGAAGGGTGTCGGGGGAGCCGGGCGGCTCCCAAGGGCCCCCATGCACACCTGACCAGCCTGTTCCTCCAGCAGTGAACTTTCCAGTGACCGCTGCCCGGGGCAGGCTCTTCCCACTGGCGGCCCCAAAGCAACCCTGAAGCAATGCCTGCCACACCGAATCCCAGGTTGGGGGGCAGGGTGCTGTCCTGGGAATGGGGGGGAGGCTCTCAGACACCCACAGGCCGGCAGCCCAGCACTCCCCACGCTGTGAAGATGCCGACTCTCCCCAAACCAGCCTGTAGGTCCCAGACAGAACCCCAGTCAGAACCTTAACATGTCCTAATGTGACCTTGACGGGCTGATATCAAATCCTTATGCAGAAGCCAAGGGCCTGGAACAAGGGAGGAAGCTGTGGCCGACTTCAGTGTGTTCCGAAGCCACAGTCAGACGGGCCAGTGGGGAGCCCCACGGCATGTACCAGCCTGGGAGCAGCCCCATGCGGACAGCGGCCCCCCACAGGTGCACAGGCCTTCAGGACACATGGGCGCAGTCATCAAGCCGGACCCCACTCCAGCTCCTGAGCAGGAAGTGACACCAGCGGGTCACAGGCCCAGAGGCAGAGCCTGAAGCTGCGAGGCCGGCAGGGGCTGCCCTGCCGAGACCAGGGTTTCTGAGCTGGGGCATCGACGCATGGGCCAAAAAAGGCATGGGCAAGATGGATTTCCTAAACCGAAGTCAAATTCTTGTCAAAAGATCATATTAAAAGACCAACCAAAATAAATAAACAACAAAAAACTTTAAGAACAGGGCCTCCCCTCGTGGCGCAGGCGGTTGAGCGCAGCACTGGGAAGCCGTCCACAGCCTCTGCAGCGCGGGTTCAATCCTGGCCCGCCGGGGAGGACCTACATGGCGCGCAGCCCTCTCCTGTCCCCCGCTGCTCCCCTCAGCAGTGGATTTCCTCGGTCTGCCTGTTCTGCTCCCCGCTCTGTCTCTGGTGGATCCTCTCCCCCTCCCGCGCCTCTGGCCTGCACCCCAGTTCTTGGATAAATAAATCTTTAAAAAGAAAAAATATTTTAAGAACAGAAAAGATTACAAGACAAACCATGAAGTGGGAGAAAACACTGCACGTTGTGTGTGCGCGCCGTGTGGACCTGGGTCCAAAATACAGAAAAACTCAAAACTCACTAAGAACAATTTAAATTGGCAAAAGATTAAAACACTTCCTTCTCCAGCGCACGATGGCACGGGCGCGGCATCCGGGAGGACGCGCCAAATACAAAAGGCGACGCACCGCGAACCTGTCCCAGCAGGCAAAACGTCCAGGCCCACTCGGCACGGCCAGAGCCCGGGCCTGGAAGCCGCGGTGGGGCGCGAGGGGCGGGCGGGGCGCGAGGGGCGCGGGGTGCGGCGGGCACAGGCTGGGAGGCGGCTGCAGCCTCGCGGAAGGCAGCGCTTACCAGAGGGTCCGGCCGGTGCGCGCTCGGCTCCACCCGAGAGAAGAGAAGCGCGCTCGGGCGCGGGCGGAGGCGCGGGGCGGCGCTGACCAGCCAGCCCGGGGAAGGCCCGCGGCCCGCAGGGGGGGCGGAGCCGGCGGGGGGGATGGGCTGGGGCGCCGCCCCGGGGGGCTGGGCCGGCGAGGGTGGGAGGGTCGGGGGGTCGGAGGGTCGCGCGCACAGCGAGGCCACAGCGCCGCCGCCGCTCCGCGGGCACAAGCCCAAGGGACGGGGCAGCCGAGGCCTGACCCCCCGCCCGCCCCGCCCGCAGCGCTTTGCTGAAGGCGCCCGACGGGGCCGTGTCCGGGGAGGCTGCCGGCCGCCCCCGCCGCTCCCCCAGCCCCGCCCCGGCGAGGCCAGGCTGCTGGACATCACCCCTCCGCCGCGCGCACCGCGCCCTCCCGGCCGGCAGCGGCGGCCCCGGCTGGGCCTGGACGGGCCCTCGCCCCCGCTGGCCGCAGCCCCCGATGCGGGCGTCGCCAGGCCCCAGAGCGCGCGCCCACCCCCGGCCCGCGCCGACCCACAGGCCTTTCCAGGAGGCCGGAGCCGCCGCTGGCGGACCCCCAGCGCCCCCCCCCCCCCGCGCCGCTGGGCCGCTGGGGGCCCCCGAAGAGGGACGCCGGCCCCGCCCAGGCCACGGGGTCCCCGAGCGCGCCCCGCCCAGCAGCCCGAAGGGCCTCGGCCTGAGCGCCAGGCGCGCCGCGTCCAGCGTCTCCTTTTTTTTGAGAAGAGAAACCCACACATGATGGAGACGCAGTCTCCCCGCAAACGCTGCCCTTCACACCCCGCCTGCACTGAAGCCGCAGGCTTCTGTGGGTGTCAACGGCCGGTCCCGAGCACCCCCTGCCCCGGGAGGTCACCGCAGCCGGGGCCACCAGCTGAGC